ACGTTTTGGGAGCCTGTAGTACATGGCATGCATCCTAGAGAGAGGGGGAAAGGAGGCAGAAATGATTGGAAAAGCAATGAGACAAGTGCATGTGCACGCGTGACAGAGACATCCCTGTCGCCTTCCACAGGTTTTGGAGCAGGACCTAGGGCTTAATACGGGAAGGGCCAGAGGCCTGTGCCAAAGGGCCTGTTTCTGGCACCAGCCCCCACAGCAAATGACCACCTTGGTGGAAGGCTGGAGATGGAGATCTTTTATTGGTCATCTCATCTCACGTAACAGGGGATGTTCCTGTTACCCATCTCGTCTTACTTAAACACTTGATGCACAAAGAGACTCGGGGATGCTGTCAGTCCCCCAGTTCCAGATTTGAGAACGAGAACAGCAGCACGCATGAAGGACAGGTCCAAAATGAATAACAGCCGCCCGCATACCACTGGGACCCTGCCTCTCTAGCTTTCTTTGCAGAGCAGTAACGGATGAGCAACTACTGCCACCCCATTCATACAATCACAGACAATGAGGGTTGAAGGGACCTCAAAAGGTCACGTCCAGTCCAAGCAGGACCAGCCCCAACTCCATCATCCCAGCTGACGCTTTGTTGAGCCGGGCCTTAAAAACCTCCAAGGATGGAGACTCCCCCACCTCTCTGGGTAACTTGCTCCAGTGTTTCACCACCTTCCCAGAGAGAAAGTTTTTCCTAATATCCAACCGCAACTTCCCTTGCTGCAGCCTGAGCCCATTGCTCCTTGTCCTGCCATCTGCCCCCACTGAGACCAGCCCAGCTCCATCCTCTTTGCAGCCCCCCCGCAGGGAGGTGACGGCTGTTATTCAATTGCCCTCGGTCTTCTCTTCTCCAGGCTAAATCAGCCCATTTCCCTCAGCCTCTCCTCACCAGTCCTGTCCCCCAGCCCCACAACCATTTTCACTGCCCTGAGCTGGACTCTCTCCAACTTGTCCACATCCTTTCTGCAGTGGGGGGCCCAAAAACTCAGCCCAGGACTCCAGACAGAGCTGTGTTCAGAATTGATGGACCCATTCACTCCAGACGGGACTTGAACCCCCAGCAAACCAGTGCCTCAGGCTGCCCAGGTGAGTGAGATGCTTGCTACTCGCCTCCCAGTCAGGATCCTCACCTACAACTTAAAGCATTTGCACCCATCCTACCAAGTCATTTCCAAGTTGACTCACGGCCCCAGCTCCATGCTGAAGTCAACGCGTAGGCATCCAGGAAGCCGCACGAGGTGCTCAGGACCAGTTGAATTGCCATATTGGGCCATGCCGGGCACCGTCCTCTGCAGAGCAGTTAAGGGGTTATTCGAGTCTGAGCGCTCGCGTTTATCCTGCGGGGATGACACAATGCAGCTGAGGTACGTGCTGTTTGGGGCAATGCCTGCCAAGCATCTACCTGCTGCTTATTACTCATGCCCAGCGCTGTACAGAGCGCGTTACCTGTAAGACTGCAGCGGGGACAGACAGCTCTCTGCAAGCAAAGTACATTGGCAAGCGCCCGGCCTGGAATCTGAAAAAGCCCCTTGGAGATAGTCCTACAGAATAAATACTTCTTATCCAGATCCTTCCAGGCAGGCATTGGTACCTCTGGAAAGGCAGGCTTGTGCAGACTCCAAACTCAGAGAAATGTTTGACAGAGCCGCATACGTATTCCAAACATTGTTTGATTCATGTTTTAAAGCCTAACTTGCAAACATACTTCCGCAGCTCAGACATCAATCACAGGAAATATGTTCTTATAAACAAAGTGATACAGACTGTCTCTTCCACCGATACCATATGCAGGTCACTGGGTAGCACCCCAGGAAAGGAGCTTTCTGGCACGGCAGCTGAATAAAAACCTTAAAAAAAAAAAACAACAACCAAAAAACAAGGAATGCAGGTAGCTTGAGAAACAGGCTGGAATTAGAGCAATAGAGACACGTTAACAGCCTAATGAAGAGTCATAGACTCAAAGAAAATGAGGCTGGGAGGGAGCTCAGGAGGTTGCATCTACGCCAACCCCCTGCTCCAAACAGGACCAGCCCCAACTACATCATCCCAGCCAAGGCTTTGTCTACCTGGGTCTTAAACACCTGCAAGGATGCAGACTCCAGCACCTCTCTAGGTAACCCATTCCAGTGCTTCACCACCCTCCTCGGGAGAAAGTTTTTCCTAATATCCAACCTCAACTTCCCTTGCTGCAGCTTGAGCCCATTGCTCCTTGTCCTGTCATCTGCCCCCACTGAGAACGGTCCAGCTCCGTCCTCTTTGCAGCCTCCTACAAAGTGACCTACCTCATTCTGATGCAAGCACAGAGCTGGGGGTTGCCTGTCGTCTACAGCAGTGGTCTCCAAACTTTTTTAATTGCGCACCCCTATCAGTAAAAAAAATTTTGAGCATGCACCCCCAATATCAAATATTAGTAAAGCTTAATTTTTTCTTATTTTTTTAGATAAAGAAATAAATATAAATACAAGTTCTAATATTTTCTTCCCGCACCCCAACGGATCGTCCTGCACGCACCCCACTTTGGAGACCACGGTTTTGCAGAGTGGTGGCTTTGAACTTGGATCCACTGCTGAGTTACCGACCCCAACCCCGCAGCCCTCTGATGCATGGTCGAGTGCTGGGCAGGCCCTACAAATGTCACCGATGACATTGCTTGGTCTTCCCTTGATTATTATCCAGGAAGGTGCGCGGCATCATCTGCCAGCTGGGAATGATTCAGTCCCAGATTTGTAAAGCGAAGATCTCTCACCTTGTTCTCAAGGGCCGGACCCTTGTATTTCTGTTGCAAGTGCATCCAGGATGGCCCAAGTCTGTCCTGAAATGGACCCTGCTGAGGCTCTGAAGCCAATTTGTTGTTCACAGACCACTAAATCCTGGGCTTCTCTGCAGGGAGTGTTTACAAGGGCTGCCGCGGCTACATGTTGTGGTGCCGGGGGTGGGTTTGCCATGCCCATACCTCTGGGCACAGTACGGCCAGAAGGAAATTGTTCCAGACAGGCATTTAAAAAGCAACTTCTGTCTCCTACCGACATGGCATAGTCCAGCCAAAGACTCCCCGATGCTCCGGCCAGTCCCTACCCCAGCCACGTCACCGCGAGCACATCTTCAAACGAGCTGGCATCATTGCCGATGTACAGTATTGACTCAAATGCTTGTACCTATGAATGAAACTATGAACATATCTAAAGGGTCTAACAGAAAACCGTCTGACGGCAGCGATGGATAAGGGGCGAGGGAGTGGAGAGTTTAAACGCTTCGTTCACTGTGACCATTATTATTAACCACTGATAGCAGCGGTTCTTAACCTTTTTAGGTTCAAGACACCTCACATAGATGTAAGGCACCCCTTGGAAAGTGCCAGCAATTAGTTTTCACTCTTTTTTTCCCCAAAGAAAAAAAATAGAGCAGTTTTTTTGATCTCAGAAAGACTGCAATGAGGGATTTCTACTGGAAACTCTGGGTTTATCTTGAGGACCGTGTTTGCACACCTAACAGTCCCAACACTTGAAAGGATCTCCTGGCATCTTGGCTGAGAGTCACAGTCCACATAGTGCCCGTCAGCAAGAGAGACTCCTCTGATATGAAGCACACGGCCTTGATAAGGTGGATATTGGGTCCAAATACTTTAAAATGACAGCAGCTTTTCATGGGGCCAAGGAAAATCTCCCTTCTCCTCTCTGTTCCTCGACATTTCCTCCTCTGCATAGAGCAAGGCAGGCAAAGCAACGCTTCAATACCATCACGGGATGAAAAAGCCAGCGCTCGCCTTGCAATTCTCTCCATTGCACCAGCATTAACATGAACGCTGCGGACCTCCTAGCACCGGTCACCTTCATCGCTGCACTTGCCGCCCATGGTTTCATAGCATACTTCCTTGCCTTTTTGATGGCACTGCCCTTATAGGACACAGTCATATAAGCCCTTTCCAGAACTACTTGTCCATGCCCATTTAAACCACATGAAAATGGTCTTGCTGGGGCTGGGTGAGAACGGGATGGTGACACCAATACAGACACTAAAGATTAAGGGTCTGTCTAATGAGTGACCAAGTGAGGAATTAAGCCATTGGCGCTCGATCCAAGGAACACATTGAAAAGTTAAGGCAGAGCCCTTTCTAAGTATTGAGTATTGAGAAGGCTGCTTAGGACACGCAAGGCCCCCATGGTGCCTGCAACTTCCCGGAGGGCCCGCAGACAAGCAGGGAGCATGCCCCACAAACCTTGAAGCTCCCACACCTTTTAAAGCAATCTTACTGTCCTTCTTCCATGCCTTGAAATACATCACTGGAAAGGTCCTGGTGCTTCGCAGTGCTGCATGTTCCTCTGCTTGGGAAAAACAGATCGGGACAAACTCCAGGGGCGAAGCTTTCCCTTGGCTGCATGAGACGGATCAGCTTTCAAGACCGCAGAATTGTTTCCTAGCGTGATCTACCCGGGTTGACCCGAAATGCTCTGTTGCCTATGAAATACAGGACCCCTTTGGGAGAGAGTGACACGCTTCAGCCCGGGGAGCGTGACGCCGACGGAGACGGAAAGGTTTAAGAGGGGATCGGGCGCTGCCTAATTCTGCACGGGGGGAGTCTGAGGCATTCAACAGTTCAGGAAAAGGAGAAACCTCGATGGGTTTGTTCAGCAAAAGCAAAGGGCTGCCCGCTGGCGTCGTGCTCATTGCTACTCATGGTGCACTGTGCACAGGAGCGTGAGCCCCTGCGTGCAAGCCGGTGGCCCTCACCTCCCTGTGCCTCCAGAGGAGATAGGCAGATTGATGCCAGCCAGGAAGCTACCCCTTTGACTGCCCAGCACAGACATTTCCAGATGCCCCAGGCCCCATGCTCCATGGCTGGTAGCCTGCACAGCTCCCCGGTGACCGTCACTCTTCCCCACGGGAACAATCCCCTGCGAGCTGGCGGTCCAACCTTTGTGGCTCATTAGGTTGGGGCTCCCAGCAAGTACAGCAGCTGCGGCTAGGTGATTTGGGGACTCACCACACAGCCCTACCTGCAGGCCGCTAGCTCGCGGTACGTCGGCATTGGGAAAGCGATGAGAGAGGAGCACGTGGGCTCAGTCCTGTCCTAGGACAGAGTCGGACTAGTGATCCCATAGCTACAGGCTTCCTAATCCTTCAGCTAATAAATCCACTTGAGCACCGGGGTGGTGTGCTCAGACTAATCTCCCAGCTCTGACAAACCCAGCCCTGGACCTGAGCCTACACAGCTCTGGTTTTCATAATATTACAAAATCCCTTCTACACTCAAGGAAGCTTTAAAAAGGTCTACGAACGGCGCCTTGTCTCCAGGGCCATTGCACAGTCCAGGAGCAGGGCGGGAGTGCTGCTGCTTGCTGTCGCGGACCTGCATTATTCAGCGATGGGCCATCTCAGAAAGACCTTATTTACTGACGTACCACGCTCACCTTTTCCATGAATATTAGTGATCAAAGACCGGGCTGCGCGTCTTAAGCGAGGGATGCAGTTCTGAGCAGCTCGGCTCAAAGGAAACGTCTTTTTTCCCTTTCTTCTGCCTTCCCACAGCAAGGCGCGTGTCTTGCCTGAGGGCGTGTGGTATGCTAATAAATACGGTATTGCCCAAACTTCCCTGCCCAGCTGGGCAGCGGCAGACAGCGGACTCCGAAATGAAGTGGAGTTTGGAGCAGCGCTCATTTTGTTTCCCATCCTGGCTGATGCATCCTCCAGGCCTGTGCAAAGAGGGGCTATCAGCCGGCATCTCCCTTCTGAGTCATCCAAAAGTTGACTAAGAGGGACGGAGATATCGGAGGATGAATCAGCTGGGGGGGAGGCGGGGGATGATTAGGAAGGAGACGGTTCCTATCTGCACGCACATATCTTAGGCATTAGGAACGCCAGGCACGGACCACACGGAAACCTGATGGGAGGCTGCAGGGAGCTTAGGGTAAAACGCGGGTACAGGAAAGGGCTTCTCAAAATTGCTTCTGTGCTAACCCGAGTGGGAACGTCTCAGCTCTCCCTGACAGTGCCGGGGTTTGCTGTCACTGAAGGGGGGGGACTCAGCTATTGGCACAAGTCTTCTTATTGCAGTTTTTCATGGACTGCCATCGTCAGCAATGGGAGACGAGGGGCAAACGTGGGATGCCTTCACTGCCGGGGTATTTTTTCCATCATATTTTCTGACCCCAGGAAATAGCTGAGCTGGGAGGCGAGACTAGCACCATATTCCCAGCTCTGCTATGGCCCGGCTGTGTCACCCTAGGCACATCACTTGACCCCTCCATGCCTCCGCTACCCCTCCTGCTCTTTGTCTGTTTAATGCACAATGGCATCAGGGTGCCCAACACGGTGGGGTCTGGATCTCGCCCGGACGGTGAAATAAGTAATATGTTGTTACACTTCTGTTGGTGCCCAGACCTCCAAGCACGTGGCAGAGAGCTACACAATCCTGCCATAGACGCATCTATCTATATCCCGTTTGCCTGGACAAGCGTGATCAAGCATTTATCAAAAGCACTCCATTTTTTTTTTGCACTTTGATATAGAGATATACCAACAGCTGGACATCATCAGGGCTCAGAGGGGAGACGCCATGCCCCCCGTCACCACTTTGGTGCTGGTGAAGGTAAGTGGGCCACTGTTATCAGCAAGAGCAGTAGCAGCCCATACAAGTCCTGATAAACCAACAGACTCCTGCGTGCTGTGTCCAGCTGCCTTGATTGCTAATGGGCTTGCGTCAGCCATTAGCTTTCAAGCTCAGGATTTAGACTCCAAATGGCAAAACCAGGCACGAGAGCTCTGCAGTCTTAGAAATGCAGCTACAGCTCCCTCTTTGCATGCATCTAAGGCATCCAGGATGCTCTTTGAAGGCGCTTACGGCGAGAACTGAGCTGCAAGCGTCACCCTGAACGCCAAGGTAAAAACCGAGCGACACGGAAACCCGTTCTGTGAACACGTGTACGATCACGCATGTGCACACGCACGGCTGGGCCCCAGCTTTGCTCCTGGATCCAAACAGGGTCATCCCGCGTTGCACCAAACGCCTCTGGTCTCGCCGTGGGAGGGGAGCGCGTGGGGAGAGCGCGGTACTGACACAAAATGCCTTTGCCTGCAGAAGATCCCCAGGTCTGGGGGGCTCCAGAGCAGAGTCCGGTCAAATTGCTTTCTTACAGTAACAAACACAACTCAAAGGCTTCTGCTCCCGTGGGGGGAAGCTCAGGAAGCTGCTGGTGTCAGCAGCACTGGAAGCCTTGCAAGATTAAAGCGGTCTCCTGGTATTTCCCCACTGGAATTCCACTTGCCTGGCGTGGCGGAGCGGAAAGTGGCCGCGAGCACTGATTTTGCAGCGGGGTGGCCTGAAACTCGTATGGGACCTTGCTGAATTGTCTGCCTCCTGATACCACCCACGTCCTAGAGGCAATGACTCGAAGGGCGGTGCAATCGCTGGAAGCAGCACCTCCTCGGTGGCGCGGTATGGACCTCCTGGCCCGTTTTGCACCTCTTCAAACCTCTGCAACAGCAAAGGTGACTCCGGGTGAACTACTCATCTCGACGGCTGGCGCGCCCATAACACCGGGCTCCCCCGCGGTAGCTCTCCTGGCCCAGCCACAGCCCTTCCTCACCCCCTGGGACACAAAGACCTGCCCCCACTGACAATTCAGAGCTGGAGCCAGAGCTGAACCGAGGTTAGGAGGGGAAGGACGACGTCCCCCGTTGCAATGCTTTTAGGTCTATTTTCCTGGCGGGCGGTTGCATTTTAAAGGCTAGAATACAGTCCGTGCCACACGAGAGAGACGAGAAGAGAGGGAGATGGTTCCCCCAAGCTTCCTTTGTCCCATATGCTAAATAATAGCATCCATATGAAGGCACAGCAAGGACCTAGCAAGGGAAACAGACCAACACCGGGCTTTATCTGGCAAAGTCAGAGAAACATCAGCTGCAAAGCGTGAAGAGAATGTGCTTTCCACAGGAGACGCGGCCCGTCTAGGGTTTCGGATCTGGTTAATGACACCGCAAATTAAGCCTGTCATCTTCAGAAATGATTTTTCTTTCAGTTTGGACTTAAAGAAAACAACAACAACCTTCCAAACCTGAGATTTTGCAGGAGCCGGCCTCCCTCCCCTCCCAGCCTGCCCGACAAAGGGGGAGAGCCGCCGGGACGAGCCTGCAGCCCTGCGCGAGGGGAAGCCTCTCCAGATGAGACCGTTACCAGACCCGGCAGCGAGCGACCGAGCCCCACCGCACAAAGGAGCCCGTCTCACCGGGGCGTGCTTTCATACGTGCGGCGGATGGAGTCGAGACAGCCTCCACCAGCGATTGCCCCCGCAACACTCCCATCTCTGCTCTCTGGCCCAACTCCCTTGTAGGCACTGATCACTCATTATTAGCATTGGTGAACTGTATCCTAGCCGTGCCTAGAGCCTGGCGGAGATCTGGGTCCCACTGGGAAGGCAACATGCAGCGGTCTTGCCCCCAATGCAGCTGCAAACAAACACCCCGATTCTGCCAATTTTTTGTAGGCATAACTTCCCGGGGGTGGCTCACAGGGCAGGGAGCTAAGCGTGGAGCAAATGCAGAAGACAAGCCGAGGAAGTGGGAGCTGAGACACAGCAGTTCCTTCCATCCCTTCCTACCCCCACGGTCTACAGTCGCCTTGTGCCACCGTGTCCCGTTAAGGCCGATGCCCCCCTCTCCCCCATCGATGGCTACGTCTCAGTGCCTCGTCCTTGACTAAGTCCCTGCAACCTTCTCGAAATCTCAAGGTGTTTCACAGGATGGGAGAAGTATTTTTTGACCACAAGCCCTCTGCCCCCCTGCTGCAAGCCGGCCCTGTCTGCAGACAAGCAGGGCGACCGACAACCGCAAGCCGGGTGAAGGGAAGCCGAACGCAACCACTGAGCCTGGAAGTCAGCCAGGACAGCGGGGTTAAGACTCCTACTCTGGCAAATAGCTGCAGAGGGATCATGAATGCATGCACGTGGTTGTGGCCTTCATGCAAAAGACAATGCCTTCCCAATCCCGCAAGAGGCTTCTGACACCCTGCTGGGGCATGGCCCCACTACAGCACCACTCGTATCCCCAATACCAACGCCCCCGCTCCCCAACACGGCGTTAATGCGGAGGTCCTGCCCAGCACAGAGCAATCAAACCTGATGCGCTTTGCCGTGCAAAATTCCCCTTTAGTTTCTTTTCTCCCGGGAATTTTTGCGTGCGCGCGCAATAAGCGATGAAAAACCAAAGTTTTCATTTTCATCCAAAGTTTTCAGGTTTTTTTTCTTGTAAAACAAAACCCTCTCTTTATTCTCAAACTTTGAAATTTCCAGCAGAGAAAAAAAAAAAGCTATGTTGACTAAAAAATATTTGTCATTGAAAACACACACATTTGTAGTAGGACCGGGCAAGCTTTTGCCATCAAATGATTTCTAACAGAAAACTGTAGTATTCTGTCAAACAAAAAATTTTCACTAGCAGCATCTGTTTTCCTTCAAGATTTCTGATTTTTTAGTTGGGAAACCAAATAGAAACCCCCCCCTCAAAACCCAGAACTGAAGCATTTTCAGCTGGAAAACCGCACACAGTCAGGTCTGGGGATCTTTTTTTTTTGTTTGGATGAAACGTCAAATTTTCCCAAATCCCTCTGATTTTCTGCAAACTTTTTTGATCAGCTCTACTTGATCAGTTAATGAGTTGCAAGGGAGTTCATAACTCAAAAATTATTGGTAATACAGGTAAAATAAAATCCCCCCCAAAAACTCTCTATTCTCTGAAGTCCGAATTGATTCTCTCATGGATGGGGTTGGACGGCAGGTCCTGACCATGGGCCACAGGGAAAAGGAGAGTTTCTCACCAGTCATTAATGAGCCCTTAGCTCACGGAAAGAGCACACCGGGCTACCCCAGGACGAGAGGCCTAAGGAAGGTCTCAGCAGCGGGGGCGGGGGGTTAAAGTGGGCAGCGGTGTATTTATAATTCACGTAGAGGACCCCCCAGGGGGGAATCAGACTCCAAACGAATGCACTGAAATGCACCATAATCTCTGGGGTGGGGGAAACAAAGTCGGACGCAGCCTGGCTAGCAAAAGGCCGGGCCAGAAAAATGCCAGAAACCCCCCCTGCCTCCGGCCACTCAACAGAAACGGCCAGATTTTTACAGGAGTCTCCGCCTTTTCCCCCAAAGTTTGGCTGCTCGGTGACAGGTGGAAGCCAGAGGCCTGCCTGCACAACACCCCCAGGGACGTTGCACAGACTCGCACGCTTCCACGTGTGGCACGGTGGGCACAGAAACGACAGGCGAGAAAACCTCCGAGAAGGCCTCTGCCTGGTGCCTGGACCCTGCAATCAGACAGCACCAGCCTGCTGTTTTTCTCCTTCTGGGAGACCGCTCCTGGTGACACCGCACCGGGCGGGAATTATCGGTGCTGGAACCAAACCGCCGGCCGGGTTATCTTCTGCACGGCAGAAACTCGGGAGGAGAAACAGGGCTGCGTGCGCCCAAACCTAGGGGCTTATCTGGACCTTTATGAGCCGGCTTGCTCTGACCGCGACCGAGATGCGTCAGTCCGTCTCCTCTCGGACGCGGAGCATCGGTAGCTAACCTGGCACCAGCAAATGGCATTTCCAGGGACTCTAGGGAACAAGTTAAAAGGTCAGTTGAATGCTTCTGTGCTGAACATCCTCCATGCCTGGCCAGCAGGAGATTAGGCACATATTTCCCTTGTCTTAGTTCCCTTTGCAAGTTGCCTTTAAAGGGAACTGAGTGACGCCGGCTTTTAAGAGCTGGTCAAGCTGACATTACTACTTTTACCAAACCACCTGAGTTTGGGGCACTTTGCTGCTGAAGCTGCCAGACAAAATGAACCAGAGGAAGGTGACAGATAACAGCGTCATGTTAACCACCTTCTTGTGATGGCTCTTTGCTGTGTATTGCTGTGTCGGTAATGCTTTTCAGATTGGGTATTTCAACAACGCATTCCAGAGTAATGTCTGACATGCCGGCCAAGGAACAATAGCTGCGCACAGGCCAAGAGCAGCATTATTTTTAAGCAACTACTTCATCTCTTCCAGTCTCGCAGCCGCTCCTGGCTTCTTACCCTTTTTAACATAAGTTTATAGAGGCCGCGCTTGCAAAAACAGGTGTGGGGAGAGCGGCAGGGCTGGAGACCGCAGCTGCCTGGAGAGTTTTGGTTGAAAAACTCTTTCTGATGGAGGAAAAAAAAAAAAAGTTTTTCAGAACCAAGGGTTTTCAAATCCCTCCGCACGGCCTCCGATGTGTTTGCTTGGGGTTTGCCCCTGCAGAAACAGCTGATGTGTTTCCCCAGTTAGCCAAGCGAAGGATGAAAATGGTTTGATGCTATGCCTTTTTCACAGCTGCAAAATAGGGTTGGGGGGAGAAGACAAATGAAGGGAAAAGGGGTAAAGACCCCAAACTGCAAACAATACTCTTTATTTCTGGACCCTCCCTGTACCGCAGTTTCCTTCGGTGCTCTTGTCTTGACTCGGTTTCATTTCCTGCCTCTGGTTTTCAGCCCTTTAATTAACGTGGCTTCTGCCTTTTCTCTCCCCTGGAGAGTTTTGACACAGCCACGTTCTCCCTCCCACTCCCCTTTTCTCTCCCAAATACAAAGCAA